CTTGAACAGGAGCTGTAAGTACAGGAGGATCCTCAAATTGCAAACTGGTTCTGTTTGCGGCAACATCACACCATCCAGAACAACCCAGAGCTACTCAGTCTTGCTAGGGTTGAGCTTAAGTTCTGCTTCCCCATTCAAACCCCCACAGCCTTCAGACACTGAGGCACTGAATCTCCATAGCATCACTTAGGCTGGGGCAGAGATGTAAAGCTGGTAATATCTTATACCCATGCCACCAGATCAGTTTCATGTAGATGTTAAATAGGAGTGGGAAAAGCATCAAGCATTAAGCAGGAGCTATGGGATAAACCTTTCCCCCACAACAATACTGACTGGAACCGGCCCCGGAGGAAGGAAGCAAACCAATGTAACATGGTGCCACCCAGTTCCAATCCCGAAAGCCAGGATACCCTGATTATTGGTATCAAAAGCTGTCATTCCTTAAGTGTAATCAATGTTGTTTCATGTCTGAAACCTGAGTGAAAGGAATCCAGACAATCTGTTTCCTCTGAAGATCACACAGCAACTTTCTCTGAAGTTGCTATGTGACCATTGTCATATATCAGGACCTTGATGACCTGCATTAGGTCCATGGCTGTCATAATGGCCATGAACTCCCAAGCTGCCTCAGACTCCACCCCAGGGAAGCAGGATGAAGTCTTCCAGGACCATAAGCCTATGGAACTGCACTGCCAGCCCACCCATAGAGTCCAACTGATCCGGGAATCAAGCAACAGTCCCAATTGATTCACAGAGCCCAACTTAACAAACAGGGTCTTGCATCCAATAATTTGTGGAGCAGCACCTCTGAACACCACTAGAGTATCTCAGAGGAACATAGATATGGGTGAGGGGGGGGGCATGCCCTGGGCACATCTCTGAAAGGAGAACACCCCCCTTGGTACCCAGACAGGTCAACCTTCTCATTCATGATATGTGGTAGTACAGTAATTTTTCTGAGGGAAACCATATGCCGAAATGCTGTAATTAGTGTAATATATTATGTCTATTTCTCCAGCTATTCAGGAACCAGATTAAAGCATTAAAATATACTGAAGAAAGATGCCATCAGTACAAAATTTGCAGCCCCAGTCAATTTTTTGCTGAAGTTAAACTTGATGCACATGTGCAGAACAAATCAGCTGTTGCTTGGCTATTATCTTCTACTGCCATTTGGATGAGCAGATTTTCTCTTGGTGTGATAGGAAGGATGAGAAAGCATGAGAGATGGAAAGTGCTTAATAAAGGCCGGGGGATGCATGTGTGCAAGACAGGGAGAAAGGGGTTAATTTCACAAAAATGCTATGTTTGTGCATGTGTTCAGTGGCAGGCAACCAATAGTTATCAGATGAACACTGAATCCTTTTCTCCAGATGTCCAAAAATACGCACACCAGTCTATTATGCTTACCTTATCATGAACTTTAAGTCTAATTAAACAAGCCTTTAACTTAATTATAACCTAGCTTGCTTGCTTGCTTGCTTGCTTGCTCCCTCCCTCCCTGGAACCAAACTCTGCCTTCTGTTTCTTGGATAAATTCTTATGCTTCCCTGTAAATTGGTGCCATATATCTGACATAAATCTCTTGTTTTCCTTCTGTTCAAGCCTATAGTTGAGTTAACTGTGCCTGGGTTTACATTTATTCCATACAAAAATAAGTTTTGTTTAGATTAACTAGTCAAATCTTCTTGTTTTTTGTATATCTACATGGTGGTATTTGATGGAACAAAGGCTATGTTTTCTTCCCATTCTCGACAAAGTCTATTTTTTCCCCCACAGTGCAAGCTTGCAATTATCATAACTGGACCATTTGTGCAAGCTTATGGTTAAAGTAATTGGAAGCAAATCTTTTTTTTTCTGTGCAATCCAACTACAGAGAACTATATATTTCACGCATGACTTAATTAAGTCACATTCGTTTCAATAACTCTAATATGACTAAGTTTAGATCCAATCTTTTGTGCTTATGGTGCTGGACTATGTAATTTACTAGGAATGGTGAACTGAGGCCCAGGCTGGAGCCCTTATTGGGCCCCATGAGCAACTGCTAATTGCAGTTGCCAAAAATCAATATTTTGTGCCATTTTGGGACAGGAAATACACAAAAAAATGGTTATTGTGAGCTCTTAAAAAACAGCAGCAAGGAAACCTTTCCAATTCATCCCCAAACCTAGAAAATAGATAAAAAATCACTGCCCTGCCCAAATACATGATACGGCCCTCCCATTTTCTGTTACTGCCTTGCCTTTGCCTCTCAAACCTTACAATCCATGGTCCATAAAAGGTTTTCCTGTCCTGTAATATACAGAACAATACTTTTAAACAATTAAAAATAAACTTACATTTCCTTAGCATTCACCATCATTTAGTAATCAATTTAGATGGGCAGGATCTCCACCAATTGGGCAGTGCTTCTTTGTTTTGGAAGCAGTGTAAAACACAAATACAGCAAAGCAACATGTGGTCTCACATATGTCACTCAGGATGTAAGAAAGATTATAGGCACCTTTAATTCAAAATACCGCATTGTACCACACCAAGATGTATTCCTTTCCTCTTCCCAGTTGGCAGACCACACTCTGAAGAATATGGCTTAAAATATCTCAGTTAATGAGATTTTAAACCCACAAAAATTGTAATCATGTACACACACTGGAAATGAAAGGAAATTAAGGGTTCACCAATACTTTCTATCCCACTAAGATGGAGGACCTACTGCACTACTTTTGAAGCTCATTGGCATTACTTTAGCCTCATTTATAAGAACCATAATTTCAGAGCTATAAATGCCCCTTTCCTGATATATAGCCAGTTCTGTGGAATCAACAAGTCCAAAAGTTTTATTATCTCAATACCAAAGACAATCAATTCCATTCTGAACAGATTTCAGTCCTAATTGCCATTTTAAACAGATGTGGAAGAACATGCATCAATGTACATGTTAGGTAGAAATAGTAGGTATTTTGGTTTTTTAAACCCACTCTGGTTATTTTGCAAAAAAGCAAGGCCTCCACTGGAAGATATTTCCCGGACGTTTTCTCTTCCAAATCAGGAATATATTTTGTCTTATTTTCATCTACTGAAATTAGATGGCTACATACAAAAACATACTGGCTAAACTAGCACAACTGAAAACATTTCACTCTTGTAAAAAAGGTGTTATTCCTCATTTCTCTGTTCAGCGAATAACTTTTACATAGAGGGCAAATGCCACAAAAGTGACTCAGATAGGTCACATATAAAAACTTACCTGCCTTCAGAATGGCAGCATACTTCACAAAAAGAAAAAATATGGATTAATCTTATATATGAAGAGCAAGCTCATTTTCCAAGTGCTGGCCTTTAAAAAGCCAAAAAATGCCAACCATGCTCAGGAAGAAAAGATCAGCACAAAGGTTGCAAACATACAAAAGAAAGTTTAGGAGAAATGTTGGAATTCTGAAGACTGTATTTGATTCTTCCATAATAAACTCTCCCCCCCCCCGCTATTCCCTTGTTTCATAAATTGTTTTTGTGCACATCTAACTCTCTTGTTCTCTCTCTAGAATAATTTTGCAGCAGGATACAAAGATATGATTAGATGGATAAAAACATATGATTGTAGTTGGTCACTGTCATCATACATTCAGACATGGACACACACACAGATCTAATCTTGGTAGATCTTTTACATATAAAACTAGAAGTGACCTGTTATTCTTCCCTGAACAGTAAGTAGTAACAGCCTTTTAATAAAGCATATGTAGAAAGAAAAAAATTATTTCTTTAAAAGTAGGAGCGTACTAAATTCTAATAGTAGAAAGACAGTAAGATGCAAATAGTGATATGAAATGCACCAAACTTTGTAAACAAAAATATCCAATTATAATACTCTGAACAACACACTTTACTGTCCAGCTATGTTTAAAAATAGTACAAATGGTGTTATATTACTGGAAAGATCATAGTCTTTGTTCTATATGTTTTTCGATAAGCCTTAAGTGAATTGGCATGCTATAGTTTTCACATTTCATTAACATTTAATTCCATCTTTTTCCTTTATATCTAACTGAATATAGATGCATACCTGTCAAGTGACAATAGCGTGTCAACACCTGATGAAATAGAGGCTAATCTATAAAACATAGTCTTTCAGTGTTCCAGTGTAAGAAGTCTTCCTCTAGCATTTCTGCAATGGAATGATGATACTGAAATATTTTTTCCTTCCTTGCATAGTTCATTGAATCAAAGCCAGTGAATTTTGTTTTCTAGTAGGCAGGTTTTTGTCTTTTAAAAAACTTACTGGTCTGGAAACTAAGGCATTGCTGAATAGCTTTCAGAATATTAGTACAAATGAACAGGAAGTTTAGTTTGAATGAATGAACAGGGAATCTTCTAAATGAACAGGGAATCTTCTAGATGAACAGGGAATCTTCTAAATTGGGTCACTATCAAGGGTGTTCCTGGGGAGGAGGGGTGTCAAAAAAAAGTCAAGATGGGGGCCACAACCATGCGATCAAAACCCCACATCTTTTTTTTAATGTTGTGGTGACCATATGGACTTTTTAAATGCCCCCCCAGGACACCCAGGTCTAACTACTTAATTAATATTAATTTGTGTTAATACAAAAAAGCTAATGCTGGAATTGATGGGCCCTTATTTGTAGGCCGTGAAGTCCCTTCCTAATTCTTTTGCCAGAATTCCCTGCCAAAATCCTGAAATCCAGCAGGTATTTTTTTCAGAATAAGAAGCAAAACCAGTGCATTCTAACAGACTTAGCAGACCTACTTTATCTGTTATTTAAAAAAAAAAATCCTCCAAAGTTGGGAGTAACTATGCTGGCCAAGATTTCTATGGGCACAAGGTTGGAAGAAGCTACATTTATGCAACTCCAGAATTATGGACATTAGCAAAATTGTTCACATTCCCATCCCATTTGAAATTTACTACAAAAAGTTCTTTAACAAGCAGGCATTATAAAACTCCACATATATTTTAATTTATACATAGAACAACTTACCTATTAATGTAACTGAGAGCAACATATGTAGGCTGTTGTAATTCTTGTTTTTCTAATACACGTGGGTCCGTATCTGCAATTCAAAGTATACAAACGGATTAGGGTTTGTTGACTTAGATCATGCAGATCAAACACACTTGAAAGCCCTTTTCTCAGATCCCATGCGGGGCAGACAAAGACACAAATGTGTTACACCAATGGGAGGTGTCCCACATACTTAGATTAAGACACCTTTCATTAGCAGTGAAAGTGAAAAAAGGATCAAGAGTGCAAAACCCAGAGGTGATTGTTTTCTCTATTAGCAGAGATTACTGAAGGAGATTTGCATACCACCATGTTACATCAGACACTCAGTAAAGCTTATGAAGGATTATTTAAGATGCTCAACTCTTAATTTAGAACTATTATTTCTGATGGTGTTTTCTTCAAAATTTGCAGTACTACATTACTTCTAAGGAGATTTTTAAAGTAATAATATGATCTTTTATCATAAACATAAATTGCAATAATTATAGTTCAAGTGACATAAGTTTGCAAGCTGCAGAAAAAGCAATATAATTTTGAATAATGGATGGAAAGGCCACAATATTATCAATACTTAAAAGGATTCTTAAAATTAGCTACAAGGTCAAAACAACAACAACAAAACAAACAAAAAAACCCAAAGGGAATAGTTGCATCATACCGTTTTCAGTGCATGACAGGATGCATTTCCGCATTATGGAAAATTGTACACCTGATTCTGATAAAAAACATTTCAATTTGCCTGTAGAGCAGGGGTTCCCAACCTGGGGTGCCCGCACCCCCAGGGGGTGTGAGATGGAATTTGAGGGAGTGTAATAATTTTATGCCCTGAGATAAAAGCTTATTTTTTTTAAGTTTAATTTGTTCACCTACATCTTCAAATGTGATATTACTTTTGTAGGGGGTGTGAACATTAATCAAACATTTCCTAGGGGTGTGGGGCACAGAAAGGTTTGGGAACCACTGCTGTAGAATGATGTGATTTCCCAGGACCCAACCTGTAGTTCCAACAGGTTCTGAATACCAATGGAATATACTAGAATACTAGAAAAACTCTTGGTTCAGTAAAAATAAGGGACTTTAGGTTTTTTATAGAAATACACATAGAACTATGCTCTCTGTTCCAATAGTGAACAGTAATATACTACTTTTAATAAACAACTCCTTCAGTTAGGTGAGACAGAATACGATCTAATTTAAACCTCTTTCAAGAAAAAACATTGCTTTACTTCCGATATTACAATTTTTTGTTTGCTTTTTGGCTCCATTGTATCTTTAGATTGTTACCTAAATCTGAACTTCAAATTAAAGCATGCACATATACAGTATGTGTGCATACAGAATGAGTATGTGGCCCAGTGGTACATTCCCATTCGGAAAGGGGAAACAAAGAGGGACATCAATTTCCTCCAAAATTGATTTTCCAGTCTGAAAGAAAAACTATTGTAATAAAAACGAAACCTGTGTGCTAATCTCATCATTTTGCAACATAAATGCAAAGTGGAATATTTGAAGACATAAAGCTGATTTGTACGGAATTGGACCATTATATCAATATCATCTTAATTGACAGGCAATGGGTCATCAAAACTACAAGCTTATCCGTAACGACATGAAGTGATTTAAATGACCAGGTGTGTCTATTTCAACAAACTGCTTTTGAGCAAGTATGTCATCCTGCTGTTTTTCATTTGTTGGACCTGAAAATTCATGAACTGTGTGGGGTATATCAGGCATTTTCATGGGTCATACTGAGAATTCTCCAACAGAGAGAATTATAGGGCTCAGAGATCTTTTGTTGAACACAAATACTTTAAGACAGAGGTCCTCTCCAGATATTCTTTACTTCTGCTTTCATCCTCCAAGTCAGTATGCCAGAGGCATGGTAGTTGCCTCTACTTTAAGACTGTTCTATTCCAGTGGAAGACGGTACATTATTAGCAGACAAAATGAGAATTTTACAAATTTATGATTGTACCAGTGGGATATTTACTTAGTGAATAGCTTTCATCAGTGGTACTTCAACTATTCTATATTTTGAAAAATATCGGGCTGAGACAAGAGACAATTTTCCCCATGTTTTTTTCAAAGCTTCAAATTATTTTTTCAAGGGTAAGTGACCTTTTATATTCAAATGTAATAAAACCAAAAGCAGCTTAGAGAGAATGAGACTGTACAGAGAAAAAGAAATAACCTGCCATCACCACCCTTTTTTTTTTTTTTTTTTTACCAGGGTATACATTTCAAATGCTTACATACAGCTGTAAACTGAGAGGGGAAAAATCAGTATGGAGTTAATAGGGCCTCCAAGGTCATATTGCCAAAATTTGGCAGCAAATTATCAATCCATTGGAGTAATTATAAGGCCCAAAAGGAGCATTATGTCATTAGGTCTATGAAACTAAATGAACATTTTAGCCCCACATTTCTGTGGCATCATTACATCATAGCCATACTGCCTGATTCCAAATATAATGCAGGCATGGAGGTTATTTTAAAACTCTAGTGAATGTTTTAAATGTGCAATTACTTTTTTTAAAATACAAAGGTCATGATGAGCCATGTGTCCATCTAAAGATGAGGGGTGACGAAGGCAAAAGATATTATTCAGAAAATTATCCAGCATTTTTTTCAATGACTTTGAGTAAATTGATTAGAAATGTGAAAATGTCCAATGCGTTTAGTTTCCCAAACATGAGTGTCTGGAGTTTGATGAGCCAGCAAAACAAAAACAAACCAAGAAAAAACCTTCCTAAATCTAGTGCACAAATGCAGACCCTTTCTAATCTTCCAGCACCAAACGTAGCTTTTTACATAACCCATCTGCCTACCTAAACATTTTAATGTTATTGGTACCTTGCTTTGCCTTATTCATCAGAGATAACAAGGCCTGGAGGGATTTACAGGCAAATGACCGTCCATGGGAAATACTAGCTGTGGCCACATTAGGAGCTTCTGAGGGATTTTCTGTCTTCTCTCTTTTTGACATCCTTGCCTACATCCTGCCCCCCCCCCCATAACAGATGGCTGGTCGGAATGCCAAGTACATATCTCTTCTCCTACTTCCCCCATTACTAGGTCTTACCTCTTCTGGACTATGTAACCACCCATTCTTCCTGTGTTTAATCTTTCGCGCTTATTCACACATACTGCTTCTTGTCCCTTTCTCTGGATTCCCCACCACATTCCTTGCACTACGTTTTCACAATCTCTACCAGATACATCTTGCATGCCAGCTCTGGTCCCAGTTTCTCCAAACTGCAGTAAGTTATCACAGTAGAAGGAAGAGGCCAGCTATTAGAAATCCTTTCATAGCAGATATGGGCTGACTTAATAAGATAGCCTAAAACAGGCATATAAAAATGCTAAATCTAAGCCTTCAGCTTTTCTTTAAGCTTTAGCTAGGTAGTAAAAGTAACTGAGAGTAGTCTAAACACAATCATATGAGATGCTTTGCAGTATCTTAAATATGTCTGCAGATGGAAAATGTTTTTTGAGCATCAGTTACAAACCAAGATGCTTTTCAACTCTATTGGTCCAAAGACGGTAATATTTGGAAGAAGCCATCTTTTTAATGCAGCTTACAAATCAGTGCATGTAAAAACAGGTATAGCTGTCATTTATTCTGACCAGGTCAGTTGTTGATCATTTACTAGCATCAGCTTAAACCACTTGCTTTCTGAGTCAGTGTTGTGCTACTAACAGCTCATTATATTATTGCTCTCATCACACCATTAAGAACTTGTATACTACCCTTTACTGATTGTCCAGCAAAAGCTTCAATGCTGAACAAGCATTATAGCAGTAGCCATAGATTTTTGAATCAACCATACAGAAAACCAACAAAGAGAACTGTATGTTAGTCTCCCATGGTATCAGTTTTAAAATGTTCTCTTCTGAAACATAAGAATTGAAACTACAGTGGTACCTCGGGATACGAACGCCTCTACTAACGAACATTTCGGGTTACGACCAG